ATGTTTTTGGCAGGAGCTGGAGCTGAGAGATGGGAGCTCATCCTGTCTCGCGGATTTGAACTGCTGACCTTCAAGTCAACAGCACAAGGGTTTAACCCATTGCAGCACTGCAAATTTCACCCTGCCTCACTGGCATAATACCGCCACTTTAGAGCAGTAATGGCAATATCAGTTTATTCTGAATTGTAAGTCATCTTGCCTTACTTTCCTACTTACAAAAGGAAAAAAAGGGGAAAGCCATGGCTGGAGTAATTGGAATGTCCCTTGTTTGCTTTTTTCACTATGAACAAATCAGGAGGGAATGGAATAGGGAAATTAGGCTGTTTTCCCTTCCATTGACAGTAAGGGGAAGGAGTTGACATAAACTTGTGATTCTTCCTGAGACATTTCATGGAAACAAAAGTGCTTAGAGTAGACTCCATTTTCTTTATCTCATGTGTCCCGACTATGGTAGCCCTATTTTTTTGGGAAATGGAAATCTCCAGAATCTTTTTGGAGATTTTATGATCTTTGGAAAGGCATGACCTTGTTAGAAATCACAACCTTTTGGGGAAAAAATGATGCCATAACCTCTTGGTAAAAGCATGACCTGTTAAAGTTATAAACTTTTGGGAAAATGGCATCCACCAGCCTTCATACACACACACACACACACACACACACACACACACACACACACACGTATCAGAAGTGTTCTTTTAATTGCCCAAAAACATCTACTCCCCCTTAAAATATATTTGCCTTTAAATGATGCTCTCAAGAGACAAAATAAGCAGAGATCTTTAAAAGTAACATTGTTAGTTTACGCACAAACTTCATGTATCCAGTATACAGGTACATTACTTAGCAATCCAATTACAAGTAGGTTTGAGGTAGTTTCTCTGTGTAGGTAGCAAGGGGCATCTTTCTTAGAATCAACAGTCCACAGTCTAAAGCATCTCTCTATTCTGAGAGTCTAATAGAATCTCTGTAGTCTTTTTCAACTAACTTCTGAAAGCGTACATACTGTTCCTGCATTGAAGTCTCTAAGCATACTGCTTCTGCTGCATCTGAAAGCCACTGTTCCTATTGAAGCCTAAATCGAACAGTTTCTAAAATGGAGTCTGAGCTCAGAACAAATCGGTTCTGATCACGTGGTCTGCAGCTCCTCCTACAACAAAGAGTTAAGGTCAAATTGCATACCAATACACACATATATAGTAAGCAATCTAAATTATATACATAACAAATAACTACAGTAGAATCTCTCTTATCCAATCTTTGCTCATCCAACATTCTGTATTATCCAACGCAGTCTGCCTCCCACTCAGATTCACAGTTGTTTCAATATATTATGATGTTTTGGTGCTAAATTCATAAATACTTTAATTACTACATAATGCTACCATGTATTGAACTACCTTTTCTGTCAATTTGTTGTAAAACATGATGTTTTGGTGCTTAATTTGTAATTTAATAGGCTTTCCCTTGATCCCTCCTTATTATCCAACATTTTCACTTATCCAACATTATGCCAGCCCATTTATGTTGGATAAGCGAGATTCTAGTGTAGTGGAGGCTTGAAGAAGGTTGCTATTTCCAACATAGTCTGGGCTTTTTCTGGCATGATTTATTGAGCCAAAGTTTGCAATTGACCTTCTTATAAGGCTGAGAGAGAGCAACTTGCCCAAGGTCACCCAGTGGGTTTCCATGGTTGAACATATTTAATTAGATATACTACGACCTGAATCTATTTTCATTGTTAAAGGCTAGTTGTATTGGCCCATTAAGAGGTGGAAAGGTAGCAAAAGCATAGGAAAAGTAGCTAAAACACCTCATAGCATTTATTCAATTCTTGAGTTCCTCAGAATTTTCCTTCAGTCTGGGTGTTAAAGGAGAAAAAAGGGAAAAGAAAAAAGAAAGGAAAAGGTCTCCAGGAAGTATAAACTTGAGCTTTTCACAGTTTTTTTTCTCCTCCATTTTCCTCCTGAAAAACTCTGGAAAAGTTGTGATGCTTGCTCACTGTTTTGCAACATTGTAATCAGCTTTCATGTAAGGATTTCAGAATGACATTTTAAATTGTTCCACTTCATTTTTTCCTAAACTGCCCTGAAAAGGTGTTATCATAAATAAAATAAACAACACACTGTAACTTGTAGATTTAATCAGTTCTATACACCTTAGGTAAAAGTTTTCTCCTCACATTAAGTCTAGTTGTGTCCAACTCTGGGGGTTGGTGCTCATCTCCATTTCTAAGCTGAAGAGCCGACATTGTCCCATTGTCCGTAGACACCTTCAAGGTCATGTGGCTGGCATGACCACATGGAATGCCATTCCCTTTCCACAGATCTACTCATATTTGCATGTTTTCAAATTGCTAAGTTGGCTGAAGCTGGGGCTAATAGCGGGTGCTCATGCTGCTCCCCAGATTTGAACCACTGACCTTTTGGTCAGCAAGATCAGCAGCTCAATGGTTTAACCTGCTGCACCACCTGGGGCTACATATCTTATACCTCTCCATTAACTAGGTTGTGCATTGTCATGATTGTGAAACAAAAATAATACAGATTGAACATCCCTTATCTAGAATTCCAAAATATGAAATACTTCACAATTCGAAACATTGGTAGCTTTGCTTTCCAATGGGTTACAAACACTGCTTCATGAACAAAATTATGTAAGACATTGTGTAGAAAATTACCCACTAGCTGTGCATGCAAAGTATATATGAAACATACATACATTTTGTGTTTAGACTTGAGTCCCATCTGTATATGCAAGTATTGCATATCCACCCCCCCCCCCATTCCCCCCCCCAAAAAAACCCCAAAAGGTTTCGGGCCACAAACATTTTGGGTCAGGGTTATTCAATCTGTACCCATGTCTGAAAAAGTATTCCCATACATTTATCAATTCCCATACATGCATCATTTCCATCATGGTTTTTAAACTGCCTTTGAAGCTATTTCATCTGAATGTTTTGAATATGATTGTTTATTTGGCTTTTCAAACTTTTGTGCTCACTATTGTTTTAACTCAGGCAGATGCCAACTTCGGCCCTCCAGGTGTTTTGGACTTCAACTGCCACAATTCGGCTGTTAGGAATTGTGGGAGTTGAAGTCCAAAACACCTGGAGGGCCGAAGTTTGCCCAGGCCTGTCAACAGCTTTTGTTTGATTACTTGCTTTGGATCCCACAGTGATCCCCTTTAACTTACACATTGAGTTCCAGGTTGGGAGGAAAGCAGGGTGCAAATTAACTAAACATACAGCACTGTTTCTCTTTACTGTTTGGGTAGATACTGGAGCGCCCCCCTTGCCCCCCCCCCCACTCTCATACAGGCCAAACTCAAGGAAAAAGTCCTAAGCAGAGTCAACTTGGGGCTAACTGGTGGCTAATCCAGGCTTGGCGTTAAGGATAAGGAGCGCCTGAGGTCAGGAGGAGGAGGAGGAGGGCCCGGGTTGCCCTCTTCCTCCCGGGGTCGCGCCACGCAGGGAGAGAGAGAGAGAGAGAGAGTCTCCATTCCCACGCGCAATTCTCTTGAGACCCGTCTACTCTGAAGTCAGCCGAAAAGGGACGGCCAGGGCAGGTAGGTGTGGATCTCTCTCAAGCCTTCTTGGGAGGGGGAAAGAGCAGGTTGCCCATGTGGGCTCTGTGAGTTGGCAAAGTGGGCGCCTCTGGTGACGGGCATCCAACTCCTGAGCGCAGAGTGAAAGGAGCGAGTGCCTGCGAAGCAAGGAAGGAAGGAAGGAAAGGGTCGTTTGAGCTGGCCAGCCTTATCCTCGCCAGCATTTCCCCACAAACTTTGACACCCCCCGAGGCTCATTCCCTCCCAAGCCGGGAGAAGTCCAGGCGCCTGTTTCCTGCGCTGTTTAGATCCGTTACTGAGGGGTAAGTAAGTGAAGCCCTTTTTGACGTGTACTTGGTGGAAGAGAGAGGGGGGGAAAGAAGAGTCCAAGAAAGGTGCCAAAGCGAGAGGAGGGAGAGGAAATGTAAGGGGCCGAGATAAAAATACCTCGCCTCGGGGAAGGAAGGAGGGGGAAATGTTTCCAAAGTGACTCGAAAGTTGGCCAGGGCGAGAGAGAGAGAGAGAGAGGAGAGGGCGCCTCTTGCTCTACTTCTCCTCCTTCCCCTAGCGATCCTCAAACCCGTTCAGCCTCATGGGCTCCTTCTCCCCCTCACAACACAGGGGAGGAGTTGCGCTCTGTAGCAGCGCAAGAGAACTAGAGGGGGCTTGCACGCTCCACTTCAGAGGCAGGGGTGGAAAGGGTCCCCTCTATTGGTCCCGGCAGCCACGCGTGGTTGCTGGTGGGTTTCTCTCTCTCCCTCCCTCTCTCCTTGAAGTTTGGGGCTCCAATCTCCGCGGGTGGTCTTACTGACCCCAGAGAGTTTCCCCAAAACTCCCGCAGCCCGCCCGCCCACTCTTCCACCCACTTACTCTTCCACCCACCTACTCTTCCACCCACGTTTTCGCTCCCTTCAGCTCCGATGCCCCTCCCGTGACGTGGGGAGACGCGGAAAGGAGCTTGGCAAGTGTGCCTCTCTCTCTCTCTCTCTCTCTCCCTCCCTAAGGCCGCCAGGGCTGGAGTGGCGCCGGGCACAAGCTTCTCTCCATCCTCCTCCTCCTCCTCATCCCCACCATCATCCTTCTCGTAATAGACACCCAGAGGGTGGCTCCACCGTGGCCTTTGGCGCTCTTCCGGCTCCCGCTGAAGCCAACCCCGCCCTCGTGAACCCCCCATCCCAACCCCCCCCCCCCCATCCCGGTAAAAAACTAAAATTAGCCAAATGTCAGCCCTGGCGAGATTGATTCAGCCACGAGGCAATTATCATTTAAAAAGTGCTTGATTGAGGTGCCTGATGTTGGGTGATTTATTCTGCATACCATATACATAATTAAAGCCGGGGAGTGGAGTAATTTATCAATCTCGTTGAGACTTAGAGGAGGGGGGGGGGGCTGTGAAAAAAAAAGAGAGAGCGAGAGAGAGAACCTCTCCACCTCCTTTTGCAAGCACACTCCCGAGCTGCTCTCTCTCCTCTCTCTCTCTTTCTCTCTCTCTGTTTGTTTTATTAAAACGCTTTCGGGATGTGATCCCGCCCCCTATTTTTTTTTTCCAAGAGTGAAACTGATGGTTTCTCCAGCTCGGCAAGAGAGAGTCATTCGTTTGGGATTGTGGGAGGGAAAGAGAGAGAGAGAGAGAGAGAGAAGAGGAGGAGGAGGAGGAGGAGGAGGAAAAGGGGGAGGCCAGAAGGAAGAGAAGCTGTGCCGGGCGCGTAGTTTTGTATCCTCCTTCCTTGCCTTTCTCGCGCTCTTCTCGTCTCCCCCCTCCTCCTTTCCTCAGTCCCTGCCATCGGCGATGCTACAAAGCCCGTGAGCTGTGCTTTCCCCACTCGCCTCCCGTCCCTTCCTGCCTTCCTGCCTTCCTTCCTGGACCAGCCCGCTGACTTCTTTCCCTCCGGCCACTTTGGCCGCCTCCTTGCGCGCTGAGCCAGGCAGACACGCGGCCAAGGCGAGCGAGCGAGCGAGTGGGCTCCGGGCTCCTCATTGGACTGGGGCGCAAGGTTGCGTGTCTCCCTCTCCCGCGCCTGTGCGTGGCTGCGTGTTGAAACCAGCTGGCGAACATCTTCGGAGACGGGAAGAACTGAAGGCTGCCTTTCCCCTCCCCTCTTCTTCTTCCTCTTCTTCCTTTTCCTTCCCAGTCTCTTCAGTGTCTCTTCCCCCCTCTTGTTCCCAAGGAGGGGAGAAACCCATCTCAAGGACTAGCCTCAGCATCCAAACCTTTGCAATGTAAGTACACGTGGAATTCAGATAGATTGCTCTCTCTCTCTCTCTCTCTCTCTCTCTCTCTCTCCCCTCATCTGTGTGATGCTGCATTCTGTGCCTATGACAGGAGGTTTAACTTGTACTAGGGAATCTCTCTGTGTGTGTGTGTGTGTACCCTACTTTAACCAAGTCCCTTTGCACTCAAAACCCAAATAGGGAACTTGCTGAGGTTTCTCCTCTGCCTGGCCTGCCCTCCATCCGCTGCCTGAGTGTTTAAAGTTTCATGAAGTGGTGTGTTTCACGTCATCCGGTGTGTTTTGATATTGTGAAGTGCGGCTCAGGTTTGTTTGTCTTTGAACCTTTCACCAAACACTTGTGACCTTGGCGTCCTTGCCCTGCGAAGTTATCAAACAGGGCAGTGAAGAAACGAGCTGGCAGGAAAACAAATGCCCTTTTCAACTTCAGGATGTAGCAGGGTCACTGTTGTTGTAATTCTTTGGTTTTAGACACAGCACCACCACCACCACCACAACCCCCTTCCCTTTCCCCAGCACATCTTCTCATTTGCACACTTTGTGTGTCTGTATTTTTGAGATAAAGAAACATTTGCAGGAGGGGAACAAAGCACATGGAACAACTTTAGCTGTAAGTTCAGCCAGGCTTGATCACATCCTAGTGCCCTTGTAACTCAGTAGTTATTTTTCTAGGTTTGAGCTGGGCATGAGTGAGAAAGCAGGAACCTATGGATTATATTGTTTTGTTATATAACTATAACATTGGAATATTTCCTGCATAGGACCTAATTCCGTAGATTTGAGAAGCTAAGTGAGAATAATGCTACTTCATAAATGTCATCTGTCTAAAAAGTGTAATGGGACTTTTAATCTTGATGTCAATGGAGAAGCTTTGGAAAATCTCATCTTGAAGGAGCACAAATAGGTTTCTTGAAGTACAATACTTGGCGCACTACTTTTTAAGATACTTAAGCTGCTGAAGGGGAATCTGTTCGCATTTCAGCAATGGTCCATAGATGCTTAGCTTAAGACAAAATGCCTTTTAGTGGTATATATAAAATGGAACATAAAGACCATTGTCTTAAAACAGTTCCTCACACTTGTTTTAATAGAGGATATAAAAGTGTCCAGCTGGCCAATTACATTAGACAAATATGTGAAACCTATTTTTCTTTCAGTGGCACTTAGCTGGGCACTTGGGTAGCACGGTGCAGTCATTTACATGCCGTATAATCATGCTCAGTTCCAAAGCTTTAGGAAGGCAAAACATCGGGGGGGGGGGGTGTAATTACCTGTGACCCGGCAAACCCCTCTTTTCAAGAGTAATTTCAGGTTCAGCCAGGCTACTGAAGAAATGTCTTCAGTTCTAAATTAAGGTCTCATGATGTTCTCATCATAATACTAAAGTTAACCTCTTTCACATACTGTGGGACGTTAGAGGCAACAGAATGTGCATCCTTTGAAACAGTAATATGTTCCCTCTATTCTTTGATGACTCTTAATACTGTATGAGATTACTTAGTGCCACTAGGAGAACTGAGGGATATTTTTCCTGAGTGAAATCTTTGTGATATGGAAAGTCCTTTCTGTATTTTTTTAGACTGTGTAGAATAAGTTGCTCTATTTTAGATCTCACAGATAAGGAATTGCTGTTCACTGTTGTATTACTTTCAGAAGAACCATTCTGTGATTCTGATCACGCAAAACCTTTATGTTAATTAGGTCTCCCTGATAGAATGGATGACAATAAAGAACTCATAGGAATGAATGAGTGAAGATATTGTAAAATCAAGCTTAGGAGATGGAACAAATATCAGTTTCCAAACATGTAAATAAGGCTACCGACTTCTCTTTACTGATCATAAAGACATGTGTCCCTAGATCTTCTCAAAAGTGTGTTATATTATCAGAAGTTGCACATATGTAACAGGTGAGATTTAAAAAATGTGTACCGTAGGTTTATCGCTTGATGTTATATGCTAGGAATTTGTCCAGTGCGAAATATTTTTTGTGTCTAAAATGGTTCTACTTAAAGAAGTTTATTTCCAAATAAATTGTGAATAAAAAGTGATAAGTAGAAACACATTTCCTCGCTTATATATTGCTTGTGTGATACCATGGTAGATGGCAGACTTTATGTGGGCATATGAACAGGTGTCTGTATATTTAAATTACATAATCAAAAAAGTAATCAAACAAAACTAATTTAGTCCTGTGAGTGAAAAACATAAAGTAACTACCAGGGAAAAGAAATGTTTTTCAGTCCATATCCAGGACTTCAATCTTAGAATGCTTGAAATGCAAATTTGCTTAACTTCTATGCTTCCCTTAATCACGTGGGGAGAAATGAGTAACATCATGTTCCAAAACATCATCTTGATAACAAATTCCATTGGAGTCAGTAGAATTTGCTTCCAAATAATTGTATTTTCTAGCATTAGATTTTAGAATATGTTCAAAGTTTGGCAGCTGTTAAAATACCCTAGTTCTAAGAAGTTTCTTTCGTATAGTTGTTTGGGCAAAGGCATACTCACTTCCTTCACAACTCCCTATCCCCCAAGCCAGAGCCTTTTTGCTGTTCTGGTCTTTCAGCAAATCCTGATTTCATATTGAAGACCAAACAGTTATCAGACTTTAATCTACTGGACATAGAGCAACTTTTTAGCGGTGTGGTGTAACCAAAATTAAAATAACATAACTTTGAATAGTTTCAAATGCTATTTCTCTGTGAGGATGTCAAAGAAGTTATTTTTGTGGAAACAGAAATAACTTCAACATTTCTACATGTCATGGTGCATTTTCCAAAGCATTTGTGTCTGCAGATTTTTTTTTCACCTCCTGAAATCCTAAAATTTGATGTAAACACGCATTTTAGTTTATCTGCAATTGAGATGGTTACAAGTGAAATACCCGTAATACCCTTGTGCAATACCTGCCACAAAGGTTCTTAACAGTCTAGTATAGTGGGTAACACAGCTTTTCATAAAAATCAATTGTGTAGGTTTGCTGCATTTATATTTGTAAAGTATGACCTGCATAGTTTAGAACTAGTTGGCGTACTGCATATTGCAGAAGTTGTGAAGTGAAACGAGCAAGTACTTCAAGCACATTTCTTTGCTTTTTGAATATAGTAATTGGTTAGCCGCTCTGAACAGATTTAAGTTAATCTTCTGAGAACTGACGGTCAATATGTTACATGTGGACAGGTGATTAAATCCTAGTATCTTGAGTCCTATACCTTAATCTTAACTGTCGCATTGACTGCAGTGCAGTAGGGCTTGGCTCTTCACTTGGATCTGTCATCTTTAGGAAATCAGAGCAGCTTATAGAGACAATTCACAAAACCAACAGTGACAACAAAGTCTTATGTGCCTTACAAAAGGAGGATTAGTCAGTTCAGATGTCAACTTGATTGGACAGAGATAAAAGCTGATTGCTGCTACATGGCAAGGCACACTTCATTTCCAATTGGTTATTTATTACATAAGGGGTGCTATGGCTTGATTGCTTAGTCATTGTTAAGTGCAACTGGAGACAAGGGAAACTCATTTTTAAAAAACAACAACCTCTAGGGTTTGTTTTGGTGCTGCGGTCATTCAAAAAATGCAGCTTATAGCCATTATAGTACTTGAGAAGTCTCAGCGGTCATACAGTTATATAAATGTAAAGTCTTCTGTTTATGGAGCTGCCATACCTGGTTACATCACACATCTTCCAAAGGTCTTTCAGAAATTCTCAGGGATTTCAATTTTCCTTAGAGCAAATTGCCCCATAAAGCAAAGCACAACCTCCAAGTCACTTTTAATTCAAATAAATGCTATTAAAATTGTTAGGATTGTTTTGGAAGCATGTGTTGCAGATTTGCACTATTTGTCTTTGTTCAAGATATAGAAAAAATATGGATTGCCTTTAAAATGTCTTCAGTTCAGTTTTAGAATGGGGCATTCAATATAATTTGGTGTTAGCATCGCAGGATATTTAGTCAACATGTTTTGTACTAAAATTTGGAAGCACAGAGCACTCTCATTGACTAATTGGCTAATATGATCTTGCCTTTAATTTTTTTAAAAAAACTTTGAAAAACACAAAAGATGTTGCCTGGTGTATTTCACATTACTGCACTAGTGAGTCAGTTACACATGTAAACACAATGTTATATCAAAAATATATAGTTATGCAATTAATGTTCTGTTTTTAGAAGGAACACTATATTCACAGATTGATAACATTCCTTTTAAATATAGATTTTTATCTTTTGAAGTGATATAGGAAATGTTGCTTCCTATACACCCCCCCCCCATTTAAATGACCTTATTTGCAGGATTCACAGCTTGGTTCAGGTGGAGTATTTGTTTATAAGCTGATTTAGGTTTATAGGCTGTGATCCTAAGCATATTTACTTAGAAGTAATTTCCAGTGAAATTAATGGGGCTTAAAATAAATGCAAATAGAGTTGACAAGACCGTCATTCTGAAGAGCAAAGGTTCTTATGCATGTTTACTTGGAAATGAGCACCCCTAAAACTAGTTGAATTTGTTTTTAAAGGATGAGTTGCAATTGGGGTGCCAGTCAATTTAAAACAGATCATTCTGGATTAAGTAGATTGGAGTGTACATGTCTTGTATAATATGTCTAGTTGTGAAAACATTGGCAAGATTACCTTCTTATTTGAGGCTGAGAAAAAATACAGTATAATATAACATTTAGTACTTATCATGAGCACTTCAAAGCACTAAGCAGTAAAAGGTTAAATAGTAAGAAATTATTGTAAAGTTTGCTGTATTTTGTGCAATGTTATTGATTTAACTCATTGATTAAGAAAACATTTGCGAATTAAGAATACTTTTGACGCTTATAGCACAAAGAATCAAAAGTTTGAAAGATGCCATTTCATTTTTGAAGTTGGATCGCATTTGCGATGCACATAAAAGAGACATTTACACAATCTGGGTACGTATATGTTTAGAAAATTGGACTTTCAACATATAGATTATGACTAGTATCCAGAAT